AATCGTGGATCGAGCTGGGCTCACCACCACGCAGCGCGACACGTGACCCGCACGGAACGACTTCTTAAACGCTCTTGAATTTTTTGCCGCAACGGGTAGTTTGAGCCAAGTGTCCCTCGTGCTGTGCATGCATCGTTCACCAAACGTCACCTTCGACTCAGACTCGCACTCAACTCGTCACCATCTCTCCTGATCATTCCGGCTTGTTAGAGCATCGCGAGCGACCTTCAGCTCTCCCTTCAACACGATCTCCCAGAGCTGCCATTTTCTTCCGCTCGAAGGATTTGTGCCAGCTCAACATGCCCTCAGTCGATCCATCTAGATTAGTCGAGGTGTTACCCGAACGAGTGGGCTCTGTCTCGGCTCCCGACTTCCCTCACCATACGCCCGGCAAAGCATTCCCCTCGGGATGGGACTCGACGGCATTCCGACGGGATTTGAAAACCGAAATCACTCGACTTTCCTCCGAGCGCCTAGAGTTCGATCTGATCGGCGTGGATGCTAGCATTGCAAACGCGATCAGAAGAACGCTGATGGCCGAAGTACCGACCGTGGCTATCGAAGACGTGTTTGTCTGGAACAATACCAGCATCATTCAAGACGAGGTGCTGGCCCACCGTTTTGGGCTCATCCCGCTCAAGATTGATCCCAGGCGAATGGAGTTCGTTGGTGAGTGGGCTGCCGCGAGCGTGTCTTGTCAAGCTCGGCTTTGCCCGATGCGAATCTCCCTTTTGCTCTTCTTTTCGAACGGCCCGTAGATGAGAACAATGGCGAGGCCAACGATGCAAATACGATGGTATTCAAGATCAAGGCAAAGTGCGAGCGCTTGCAAAAGACTGGACCGGAGCATGTAGCCATCAAGAACAGCATCAGTGAGTGACAAAGCGCACCTGTCAGACAATGCGATTACCACTCTCACCGACACTGCACTCATCGCCTCGCTGCGGCTTCACTCAGTCACAACCTCACAAATGGTGTGGGAGCCCAAAGGCGATCAACAGACGGACTGGGCTTCCGAACCTCCCCGGCCTGTGCATCAAGACATCATCTTGCTCAAAATGCGGCCCGGTCAAGAGGTGAATTGCGAATTGCACTGCAAAAAGGGCCGAGGAAAAGTCCACGCAAAGTGGTCGCCTGTAGCCACGGCTTCGTATCGACTGCTGCCTCACATCGAGATTGTGCAGCCTATTCCCTTGCAACATGCAAAGAAATTCGTTGAGTGCTTCCCGCTCGGTGTGATCGGTGTACGGAAAAGCAAGAGCACGGCAGAGGAGGAGGTGTATGTCAAAGATCCGAGGAGGGACACTGTAAGCAGAGAAGTGCTTCGACACGCCGAATTCTCGGACAAGGTCAAGCTGGGTAGAGTCAGAGATCACTTCCTCTGTGAGTCATTAGCGCATGCGAGCTGTCCCTGTGCCAGATTCACCAAAGGCTTGGATTTACATTTCATAGTCGTGAGATTGAAGGCTGATCAGTGTGACTCTTGCTTCATTGCTCTATGCAGTTGATATCGAGTCCACTGGCATTTACCCTCCCGAAGATCTCCTACCGGCCGCTCTGCTCGAGCTTAAGGAGAAAGTCAGGACAGTGCGAGAAGGTGTGGAAGCTTTGCAATCTTACCACATGGGCGCATGACCCTTCTCCCCATCGCTCGCCACCCCGCCATCTGCTATCTGCAACAAATGGCATTGTAATAGTACAAATAGTGCTGGGTGATCGCGAGACGGGCGAGCGGCTGTGACTTTCTGTGAGTAAAGCGGCAGGGCAGGGAAGGCGATCCAGAGCCAGAGCTTCTTCGGGTGGGGTGGTCAGTGGGTTGCAGAGCAGCCCCGAGCATCGCGTAAGTCGCCTCGCCACGGCCATGAATTTTTGCGGTGCTACCGTCAGAAGACGGCAGTCACGCTCCGGATTGCCTTGTCTGTAACGGGTCGACACATTTACTAGGCCAGGGCCCAACACTTATACACGAGTCTACCTGGACACGTCTGACGATCATGGCTGGTAAATGCAAGAAGTTTCGCAGGCACTTGGTGGCGAGCAGCTAGAGTGATCTGTCGATTTAGTCTCCTCTGTGGCCAAGAGGGAAAGGCGACACTGAGGTTGAGTTTTCTGGACATCAAGATGATTCCGACGGTACCGACGCTCACCTGTGCGGTCACTCATTACTTGATTGGCAGTGGAAAGCTACAGGCACGTGGGCTACGGAGTCGCGTCATGAATACCGGTGCCATGACGGCAGTGCGTGGCATGGTATCTATAGGCTTTCACCTAATATATTAGCGCCGTAACGCCTGATTGGCGTTCCGGCCGCATTGGCGTCCAGAGGCTGACCTGGCTCACCCCACCAGTCCACAAAGCAGCACCAGTCATCTCTATCGAGCAGCCACGACTCACGTTGATGCTCGGCTTAGACGAGCACCTTGTCGGCATTCCCTAGCTCAGCCTGTTTGCTGCTATGCCGGAGCTGGCGTTCACCCTGTATTATTCGCTGACCCACCTTTCCGCGTAGCCTCACGTAGCCTCACAGGTGTCCACTCTATGCCCGAGCGTGCAGGATTGAGGACCGGTGCGGTACCATCTGAACACATCTGGCGCCGCGGGGCTGCGCCTAGTGCACCACGGTCCTGCCGAAAGCGGTGTTTGCGCCATAATATTGCGGTATAGAGCCAGAGTCGCTTCGGAGTGTGTCCTATGGCTCGAGGGTATAAAGACGAGGCTGACACGTCGTTGGGCACTTCAAAGCACTCTTCTCCCAGCAGCGCTCATCCCACCAATCTCTGGTTGGCCCCTCCCGC